ACATGGCTGCACTTTCTCAGGCATTTCTCTACAGAAGATACCAATGCCTGCAGAAGTGAAAATCCCATGGAGGGATTAGGGCTCAGAAAGAGGTTTCATTTTGCAAATAGTTGCTCAGGATTTTTGTGGCTGTCCTTGTTAAACAGATTAGATTTCAACTTTTTTTTTTTTTTAAGTACTTTGGCACGGCTATTAGTACAGCATCCTCTGAGCCATACTGCTGCTTAGCTTGGCTTCTGAGCATGGATTTCATCTCATTTCTTATTGGCCATCCAGAAGCCAGCTTTCTAGTTTGTACTGGCTCACCAGGGTTTATCCATAGTTAAGGAAGCAAAGGTAAGACAGCTCTAGTAGAGAGAAGAGAGGAGTGAGGAGAATCCACTTCATCTAAAATACTTGTTAAAGTTGGGTTGAATTGCCTTCCTAGGATGCTTGTCTCCTTGGTGAAAAATAGATTGGGTACCTGCTATTTTGGTGGCTATTTTGGTTAGGAAGGAGAAACCTCACTCAGTGATCACATCTAAGAGAAAAATAAAAGGAGGGGGGAAAAGGGCAAATAATAATGAAAAAATAGAGGCTTAGAGTTTAGGTCCTGCCCTTTGCAAATCTTGTGCCCAGTACAAGATGGGCCAACATTTTGGGACTATGGAGTCTCTATCATCAGCATGATGCTCTGTCTAGTGCTCTCAGAGCTATTAGGTTTTGATGAACAAGTGCTTATTGACTGTGATTAGTATGGTTGTAAAGCCCTGTAAGAGGTGGAAGGCTACAGCATGTGATGTGTAGTGCCTCTGGAAGAGAAAAAGGTAGCTAAACACCATAGCAAATGGTTCAAACTTTCAGCCGTGTGATTTTAGGATCTAGGTTTTCTTTTGCACCCAAATCTGCCCAGTGCATTTCAGGTAAAAGTTACTGGCCTGAAAAATAGGTATTCAGAAAGGCAACGTAAAAGTCCTTTCTTCCCAACTAAATACACGAACTACTCGACTGCAAAGCCTCAGTGGTTGTGTGTTCCATTTAAAGTCCACTGAGACAGTTGTATTTTGAGACCACGAAGAAATGGAAGGGGTGAAAAGTTCATTTTCCCTTTTAGCATGCAGACACACGGGCGAGAGAGCATCAAGAGCTGCAGGTGCAACCTAGATTCTGAGTTCTGCTGCGTGCACACATTTTAAAAATGATTTGATCTTTCTGTATGAAGGCTGCCATATTCCTGGAGAATAAGTCAAAGAGGAGAGGGAACAGTCTCCAAAGTTATACCAGGAAATGGGCAGGGTGTGCACTCCTATGTATGCACTATGCCTAAAGAAAACTGGCCAGCCACCTATGTAGCTCTTGGAAGAGAAGTTTGATGTTTCAGTTGAACTGGTATAAATGTAGCTGAGGGATTTGCTTTATTTAGATATTCCTCTAAGTTTACCAAACAACTTGAAGGCATTTAACAAGACCCAGCAAGCATGAAAGAGAAGCGCAGCCAATCCCATTAAATGTAAAATAGCACATAAGTGGAAAATGTTTGTTGTTAAATTCCTGCTGATAAGAAACAGAAGAGATGTTTGAGGGAGCTTTGAAAACTCAGTGGTACATGACATTTATCCTCGATCTGAAATGGCTAAACATGCAATGCTCCTAGGATGGCTGAACTGTGACCTTCCAGCCTGCCAGTCCAAATGCAAACACATTACCTGGTAAATCAGGCAGAAGTGAAATTTCCCGAGGAGAGTGGAAGCCCCTCTCCTAGGAAACGAAGGCTATTAACTCATTACGTTCTGCCCATCTCAGTCTTTTTGCATGTAAGCTCTCCACACAGCTGCAGGGATAATTGGTTTCCTTTGGCTTAGCGAGAATTAAGGAATATAATTAATATGCTTAGTTTGTATGGCAACAAACATTGAAGGTCTGGGGGGGGGGGGGGGGGGGGGAGAAAATCACATAGAAATGCAGGCAAGCACCCTAGTCTTTAGGTGAATAGAGATTGCAAGGTTGAAATGGTGGGCTCGTTGTGTTTGGCTGCATGATGTCAGTTGGATTTGTGATATGTTTTACTGACTTCATCTGGTGAGTGGATTTGTCTGGGCAGAACCAGATTAAAGGGTCAGTATCCTGTTCTCAATCAGATTTCAGTAATGCAGGCATGTACGTGCAGCCTGTTAGCCTGGAAAGAGCTTTCATTCAAGGAAAAAAAAGGTACTGCACTGCAAGGGTACCCTCTGTTCTTAAAAGCTCTTGCAAGTTTTCTTTATTACAAAAATGGGTAATACAGAGTCATTGCCTCGTTCCCTGTCTTCAGCCTAATACGGCCACATTGAAATGCCATGGCCAAATGTTAAAACAGTGAATGGCCACATGTTAAAAATAAGATGTGTTTTGGCTGTGCGGTAATGGCAGTGAGATCCATTGAGTGGTGTTGTAACCTTACATGTCTCAAACCCATTTTTAGGCTGTTCACTGCTGCAGGGCCATCCCCAGCCAGAGCAAGAATGGTTCAGAAGTGGTTGGAGGTCACCTTCAGCTGTTTGTGGGTTGTTTTGTTTTATTTTGTTTTGTTTCTGCCAAGAACAGGAAAATAGCATTGGGTCTAGGCCAGAATTGTTTGGATTGAAGGCTGCACAGCCTTGTTGGGAAGGAGGACTTTATTTGTCAAACAGGGCTTAATTTATTGTGTACTCTGTGGAAGTTCACATTTTATATTGCTGAAAAGAGACAAATGATAAATAATTTGGAAATAGGCCAGAACACATTTCACATTTTCAATGCTCACATGTGTAATTTATTGCCTCAAAGAAACAAAAGCAATATGAAATGTACCTGACCAAAATATTCCATTAAGCAGAAATGAAAGCTGGTTCGTATTAATGTATTTAGTATGAAAGGGCTTCTTAGGACATTTCCATTACCAACAACAAGCATTAAAAATAAATCTGAAGCTGAGAGTTAAGGTCATAGGAAACATACAGAACAGCTTCAGCTCACCAAAACGGAATAGAAGAACTTCTGCATTAATAATATCTTAAAAAAAATAAATATATTTGAGACTCAAGAGATTAAATTAAGGTCACTGAAAGTACTTCAGCAGTTCCTGGAAAGAACACAAACTCAAAGTTAAAGCTGCTTCATCATCAGAGGCAGTCTGAGGACAAAATGAAGAAGCTCTTCTAAATCTTGATCCAACATCATGTTGTAAAAGCAGCCGTATAAACTCTTTAAAAAAGATTCCCTGTGGTAAAACTGTTACACAGGTAAAGTCAGAGGCAATGCTGATGTGTACAGATTTCTCTGGCTCTGTAATGTGGACACACTGTGTAAGTATGAAAAAGGTAAAGAGGAATAATCTTGCCAAAAGTGTTTGTTTTGCTGCCATGCAGGAAAGAAGCTGTCAGGCAGCAAAATGTGTCCCTTAGCTTTTGAATCAGGGAAGCCCTATGTATGCACACAACACATGTTCTACCTCACAACATAGAAAACTGTGTGAACACCATTACCATCCTTTCTTCCCCACTGGAGATCTTGGCCTGTTTAGCTGGGCAAATCCAATCCAGGATGCAGTGGAGAGACTTCATGAGAACCACAAGATTAGCAGTGTTTGTGTGTTATTGCAAGAATTTGTGTGTGGCTATGAGTGTTACAAGCATGGCAGGTTAATATCGTGCTTTTAGGGTATAGATAAGAACATTTTTTTCATCAGATCTGATGGCTTTAGGATCAGTGCATAAGCACTGAGCTTTCACCTGACCAGAATCCCTCAAGTACTTAAAGGGATACACTGAAGTGAATATGTTGTACCTATCCAATTTGGGAACTGTATAAACTACAAATACTCTTCAGAGTGTGAGAAGACACAAAACAGCAAAGTTTTAAGATTTTCCATCATGTGAGAGTATCTCATTACACTGAAAAATTGTCTTTGCTGAGGCAATGTGCATGAAGGTTTCCATCTTACTGGCTCACTCATGGCAAAATCATGGAAGGAAAATGGAGAACTTATATAGTGTGAGGCTAAATCTGGGGACAGAACTTATATTTGCCTGCATAAAGTGTTGCAATCTACCATATAGCAATGTTGATTCAAGAAAACGAGAGATGGTCACCAGGCTGATTTTTTTTCCCAGCCTTTATGTTGTGACATTGCAATAGGAAAAAAGGAACTTAGTAGTGAGGAGTTTCTCAATTTGAGGACTCACTGCAGTATTATTTCCTTCCAGACCATTTTTTGACAGCTCACCACGAATTTGGCACTAGCCCTTTCTGATTTCCCCCTTCACATATAAATGAATAGGTTAGAAGAGCTTTCCATCTCTCAAGAGTCACCACATTTCCTGGCAGAAGAGCAGATGGGTAGAACCTCAGCTTGAGTAACTCAGTGAATATTTCTGAGGTCAGGTTCTACATCCTGATTGTAGGAGTCCTGTGTCACACCTGTCCAGGCAAACACTACACCCGTGTTTTTTGCTCCAGGGCCCTGTCTGCTGATCATACTGCAATACATACATACCAACTCAATCCCTCTATTGAGAATTCTTAACACAACTGATAGGATGGTTTTCTGTGGTACTCAGCATGGATGATGTGCATAAGTTTGACTCCCCCTGCCCTTGGACGCTCCTCTAACACTATCCCAAAAGATTTAGCACCCTCAAACAAACCCTGGTGCTGTGCAGCACTGATGCTTGGGTATCATGCTATACAAAACACCAGTGGGCTGTTTCACAGCAATCTCTTATTCTGAACACTTCAAATTCAGAAATAAAGAATACAGAGAGCAATGCTCTGGCACAACAGGGAATCCAAAGCACATGGAGCCGAGTGGTATGGGGGTCAATCTAGCACTGAACAGCTGGGACGTGGACTAGTCAGTAACACCCAGATAAGCAGCTAGACCACCAAGACTCAGCACAGGCATAGGCTAAAGCCACAAACTTCATTTATGAGGCTAAATACTCACTGAATCCTTGTATATCATGACATTTTGAGCTCTTTTTGCTGTTTTTTGACTTTTTCAGAACCTGAGGCAGGAGAGGTGTCCCCCCCAGTGGGAGCTGGTGTGAACAGCAACAGCTGGACCTTTAAATTTGGACCCGGCAATTCGAAACAAGGAGGTCCTGGTGAGTTGCCAGACAAATTCATTATCCCAGGATCTCCTGCAATCATCTCCATCCGGCAGGAGCCACCAAACAGCCAAATTGACAAAAGTGACTTCATAACCTTTGGCAAGAAGGAAGAGACCAAGAAAAAGAAGAAAAAGAAGAAGGGAAACAAGACTCAGGAGAAAAAAGAAAAGGGCAACAGCACCACTGAGAACAGTGACCAGTGAGGGGTTTATAATGAAAGAACCCCCTTAGCCAGTTTTTGTAATAATGGCAGATTTCTCCTATGTAGCAACTCCCAATTTCTTCCTCCTGTTAACAAATTTCCTGTACATACAGACTTCAGAAAATCCGCAGGAAATTCATGGTGTCTGTCTAAATTGCTTAACAGGTTTTGTCTTGAAAAGCTTTATTAAGTCTGGTGTTAACTCTTTTTCTCCACTCTGGCTTGTTTTCAGAATCTAAAAAGCAGACACAAGTTTCCTTTCTCCTACGCCGAAAAGGAGAATCTTCACAGTACAGCCAGTGAGAGGTTGGACTCTCTGCACTGTGGTTCCTGTGCTCCTGTCTTGATGACACTTACAGGGCAGGTTTAAAAGTTTTAATATTGTGCACCCTCTATCTGATTGGAAATCTTTGTGTGCAGATGTCAGCTAGGTGATAAGAAACCAGGTTGTAAGATGCAAGAAGAGCTGGTAAATACACAACAGAGGAAATACCTAACAAACTTACACGATCAGAGATGTTCAGGCTGGGGAGGAAATGTCTGAAAGGTGACCAGACTTTTCAAACTTTGAGAAGTCACTGTGTGGGAATACTGAGTCTTACACATGACGTATTGTACACACTCCTACAAAGAAAACCTCACATTTACAGCTCTTTAAGATACCATAAATGTTATCTTTTTACCAAGCAAGCCATTGGGAACTTGTCCCTGGGAGCCCTGCATTACCCCAGCAAGGCTCTAATGCTGTAGGGAGGGCTGGGCTGACATCCCGGTATGTGACTGACTGTGATGCTCTGTGTCCCTGTTGCCACTCTTTGATTATTTTGCACATTTTGTCTCTGAAAAGGTCAGAGTTTTTCCACGACACTTATGCAAAAAGAGAGAAAAAAGAAATGTTAACTATGCTGTTTGTTATCTGAGATATTTATTTATAAAGAAATATAGCTGTAAATGTTATAGAAATATGATGCCCTTTAACCCAAACAGAAGTCAATCTAGAGCCATTATAAATTAAAATTGCTGCTACTAAAGTGCTTTAGAAAAATTGCCTGAGACATCTGTATTATATCGGCCACTTGCCAATAACAGCTTTATTCTGTCGGGTCACTTGGGGGCTGCCTCTTGCATGTTATTAATGAATACATGAATTTAATTTTTTTGCATTAATCTGCACTTTCAATACACCTTTGCATACAAACTGTCCTAATATGACGAAGCAGAAGCGAACTCCTCACGCAAATGGATTTACTAACCTGCTAGTTCTGTGCAGTACCTTGGTGTTACCTCCTACACACCCCTTTTCTGACTTTAATTTTACTTTTTCTATGAGATTATGAATTTCTGACCCTATTAACACTTATTATGTAAAATTCAAGTACTGTATGTATGCTGTATGCTCTTATAAGAATCCTGAAATATTTATTCTGTGCTTGTGTATGTGAATGTCAATGCAACTATTATTAGAGTGGACTTTAAGCTTTACCGTTGAATGTAAATTCATGATTTCTTTTTTTGTACACTCGTGAAAAAGTGGAGTAGTGTTAATTTTTTAAGCCACTGTTGATTATCAGTTGTTCTTTTTTTTGTGTATGAAACACAAGTAAAATATCTTTCTTAAATCAAGCCATGCATGCATTCTGAGATTCATTGAAGCTAAAGCCCTGTGAATTACTAAACCTATAATTGGAGTGCTAAATGTGATTGAAGATGCTGGTATAAAACCAATACATGTATTTTTAAAAAGAATAGAGCTGATGAGGGAATTCCACGGAGTTTTCTACATTACTGTACCTTCACAGAATAAAGCTCAAGTGTTGAACTAATTGGAACTGCGTAAGAAACTACAGAGCTCTCACATTGCTGCCAGTCGCTCTAATCTAGGATCAAAGAGAACAACTGGATTTCTTGAGACGTGTCCTGGATGGTTGACGTTTCCAAACTGCTGACAGTTCAGAGCAGGTCAATTAGTATTCATTTGAGAAACCTGATGCAAGTCTTAAATCATCACAGAAGATAAAGCTCTAATAAAAGAATGAATCTCTCAAAGTGCAAACTGCCGAGAGCCTCATGTGGTCTATTCAGTTTTCCTTTGCTACCAGTCTTGTTTTACTGGCAATAAAAGCAATGCTACTTGATTCAATTTCAAAGTCTAGCCTAGAGGAACAAGCTTATGGTTTGGGGAGGGAATTGTTCTTTTCTTTGGCATCTGGACAAACTATGGCTTGCAGGTCACAATTGGGGTAATGCATTCAGCTGGGAGTTAGGGGTTACTGTTTGAATATCACACAAGAGAGGATCAGACGTGGCCAAGACCAACAAGAATCAAGAAATTAAAATCTGTTTTATCCTCCTACTGACAATAAAGTCAGGACACCAAAACTCATTAGCAAAGAACTTGCAATTCGGGAATATATTTTTTTACCACTTGATCAATTTACTTCTCTTAGAATTCATGTATTGCCTGTGAGCTTATTGTCACTGAGAAATTTGTTTGTATGAATACTAGATTGGTGGACAAAACCACGGGGCTTTTAAAATAATTAAAGCTGAGTTATGTTGCTTCCTAATTACATCTCATTGTTGAGAAGATATTTTACACTGGCCTTCTGAAATACAATCTTGTGCCATTTTTTTCTACTCAGGATTTGGGTCATAGAACATCAGAGGCTGCGGTTCCAATTAAAATTTTCCAGTGATCTTACTAAAGGGAAGAACATAGAACTCAAAATACATTTCCCAAAATTCATACCTAAAAATCCACTCTGGAATTAATTGCAGTCAGCTTTGACATCCTTTAGGGTCATCTTTAATTTCTCCTTCCCCTCCATTCACTTGATTTGCTTCAAGGACTGCTTCCATTTTTGGAAAACGTCATTGTGTTGTTAATTGACTTTCTCCCCAAGAGAAATGTTGAGTAAGCTACCTTTATAGACCAGTGCTTATTAGTACATGACGCAGTGACCACAATTGATACAATTCATGTTGGATAATCAAAAATAGATACACCTATTCTGGGTCTTGGAGACCTCAAGGCTCCAATAAATACCATTTCCTCCAGGAAACCTCATCTTATTAGCTCCCTAATCAATGTGCAACATATTTAGGTACAATGAAGCTGGATTCTTCCAGTTTCTTTCCACCAAACACTTCATTTAGAGCTTTCTGTTTGTCTAAAAATCACCTGTTCTCAAATTGTAATTGCATTCTTAAAATGTAAAGTCAATCACTGCCTTTCTTTTACACACTTGGCCCTGTTATCTTAGTGCAGGTTCTCACTAAGCTTAACACCTTTGTGCAGTCTTTCTTCCTTTGTCCCATTCTCCCCTACCTGTAGTTTATGGATCCCATAAGCTACAGGCATTCATGAAGATGTTCAATTATTAACCTCATTAGAGTCCCAAAGAAGGAATGGGTTCCTCACATTTGCTGCTGCTTAGTAATTTGAGAATTACTATTTGTTCCTTGACACAGATATCCTTTATAAGATGATGCCATGAGTCCCACACTCTTAAAGCTCTTGTAAGTTTACAGAGTTAGGACTTAAATTTTGGCTACACTGAAGTCCTTTGGTTTCCTCCTCCAAATGTCTCTGAAGGAGAAATGAATGAACAGTATTTTGATATCATCACATAAAAGTTAATCTACACAAAGCAATTGGAAAGAACATGCAATGCAGTAACAAGTTGTGAGTACGAAGGGCATGATAAGGTATGTATTAGGCTCCTTGTGGTGCTTGAGCAAACGAGTGGCTGACTTAATGCTCACACAACTGAACATGTTAAGAATATAAAGAACTGCTGTAACAAAAAAAAAGTGCTGGGATAACGACCGTGTGTTGCTTAAGCACACATTAGAAAATCAATATCACTAACATATGAGTTGTTTCTTACATTAGCTTTTAGTATGAGGTTGCTGTGTTCTCTAGAGATTATTCTCTATCACCTCCATTCCTCTCTAATGAGTCCACAACACTCTCCTGCACTTGCAGATAGATATATATGCATATGCACACACATAGTGTACACACATGTATATAACACATAAAAATCCAAGTCCTGCTTATGTTGCTATTCAGGATATTGCCACACTGACTCTCAGCAGTAATGCTACTTAGGAAATCTCTGATTGAATCTAATTTTTCACAGTGATGTACTAGGGTGACATTACATACTTACTTCTGTCTCGTTCACATGCTTTTGCGTGGCTTACAGAAATGATGAGAGGAGTCCTTCTGCATGCAGTAGCACATCATTGCTTCTGCCACACTGGAAGGAGGTGACTTTACCCTGCACCTTGGGTTTCCTTTCATAACCCAGCAGCATTTAATGCAATCACTCTGACACTGAGGTTTTAACATCAAAAGATAACAGAGATTTAGCAAAATAGGTCTCTCATAACTCGTACAGCTTCTCAACTGTTAAAAATGTTTGCCTGTTAGTAGTGCCAACAATTACGACTACTGCATGAAGAAAGACAACGAGTCTTTCATCCACATTTTAGAACTGAAGTCAAGGGCATATTAAAAACCAAACATGGTAGACTTGAAAAGCATATTTCAAAACCAAGATCCTGATAAAGAGCTGGAAGCAGTAAACTGGTCTTCATACCAGGGACAGCAGCCATAAACCTGCTGTCACTCCCACCATTCAAGTCATTTGTCTGACAACATGAGCTGCATGGAAGAGGGAGGGTGGGGGTGAATGGGATATGGTGAAAAGACATCCCCATGCTGGGAAATATTACCCTACCATGATACCATTGTATTAAGACACATAAATCTTTGGATCACCTATTGGGCTTCTTGTTATATGAAGGGAAAAAGCTCCTGCTACCAGTGTGCTGTTCCAGCAGGACTGCCATCTGAATCACCTACTTGGTAGGAGATGTGAGACCTTCAAGGGCTGTCCTGTGAGCTCATCAATGGTACTGCAGTGAAGCACTGGGATAGGTAACAGTACAGCCAGCCCTAGCAGCCTCCTTCCATTTTCTGGTGGTATTGATGGAAGCTTCAAATGTTTTGGGCAAGATTTGGCACCAAAGATGTTCTTGCTCATTAATTACTGAAAGCCTGACAAGAAATACCAGTTATTACAACACATTGGCCTCAGCCACCCTAGACCTGCATTAGTTTTGTGGTAAATACTTCTTTTCTGGGACTCAAATTCCACTCAGTGCAGCTTCAGTGTAAAAAAAATGTGTTTGTTGATGGGGGGAGAACCAGATTGAAAGCTTACATAGATGTGACACCGTGCCCCAATTAAGATCCTGTTATATCAGAAACCTATGTTAAGAGGATACGTATCACTCTCTCCCTTGTAGAAGTTTCGTCAGAGTTTAAAGAACAGGAAGTTACTGATATGACTGAATTAAAGCTGTCTCCAAGCATCACAAAAACTACCTCGGTCTTTGCAAAATGACATCAAGCAGATGCAATATAAACATAATGCTGAAGATAAGCTGCATCTTCCTCTGAAGGGTGACTGTACCGAGCACTGGAAGGAGCAGCATCCCCCTGTCTTAGTGACAAAGAGGCACAAAAGTGCAAAACTCATTTGGTTTTATCCTCAGACTCTTTTCACACATACAAGGGGAGGCTTTGGATGGTCATGTAGAGTCAGATTCTGGCCAGCAGCACAAGCAGAGAGTGGGAAGTATCAGACATTTATTAGCAAGGAGATGCAGGGGAGTTGTTCAGGTGAAATCTTCCACATTAGAAGATAGCAGAGACAGGTCAACCCAGGGCACTAAATGCACTTGCTGTCACAGAGAGGCTGCTCTGCCTATAGATCTTGCTAATGGCCCCCTGGGTCAAGCAACCTTTCACAAATGGACAGCCTATGCCATCTGCAAAGCTGTCCAATACACTGGCTGATGGCAGAACTGCTGGCCTGTGAGCTACATTACTACGGTTTTCTGTAGTCAAGAAAAATAATAATAATAATTGAAAGTCCCATCAAGGATCTTTACTGAATTCCTTATGTGACTGCTGGGCTCCTCCTGTGAATCTGCAAAGCCAAACTACATAGGTGCTGGCATTCCTTAATGTGCACACAGCTAATGCAAAACAGCCTGGAAGTAACAGGTTATTGCAGTTGCCAAAGCCTTCATGATCCAATCAATATTGATGGTGCAGTTATTTTTGCATCGATTAACTTATGAAGTGAAACCCCTACAGCAATAGAGCTCATGGTGAAACATTCGGTGCTACAGTGTCTGCCAGAATTATACAGCTGTAAAAAATAATAAATAGGTTACCAGATAAAAAGAAAGTTCAAGCATGTGCAGCCCAGTTGTACTCTGTGCTGTGCACACTGACAGGTCTGCTGCACAGCCCTTAGACTCTGGAGAAGAGTTGTACTAACTCTTGTCCCACTCCAACAGGGAGATACATGCTAACATCCCCTGCACAGAGAGGCTTCTGCCCATGCTCCCATATGTGCATGCCACCATACATCTCTGTATTGTTGACTATAGATACCAATGGGCTTTGGGTTGCTGGTACCAGCTCTGAGTAAAGACATTTGACTGGCTGCAAAAAATCCATACGTGCTGCCTGCCAATCAATGATGGGTTTACGGTGGGGAGCAGCCCAGATGCCCTGATGCTCACTTACCCACAGGGGCAAGTGCTGGAGCCTGCCCTGGGAGCTTTCTGCTCCCCTCTCCATCCCTTCCAAGTTCTCACTGCTCCTATGCAGGCTTCCAGATCTAGTAGTGAAAACTGTTTTGAAAAGTGTACCTTATTTTCTGGGAAAAAGTTTTCAGCCATTTTTATAGGTGTGAGGAGCAAGGAACAGTATAGAGTGAGAAAACAAGCGTACCTCATCTCTATCAACCAGCTGTCCCCATCCTTTCCTGGTATGTATTGCCAGAACTTAGACACCCAAAGACAAACCTAGATGACATTTGAAGCACAAGCACCCAATGAAACTGGCTCATTTACAAGCCCAAATCTTTTTTGCACATGGCAGTTACACACATGATACCTGTAGTCAGAGGGAAAAAATTCATGCAAGATCAGGTTTTGGAAGTATCAAAATAAATGTGTCTTGGTTGCT